TATTAAACATTAAAAGTCTTCCATGATATTTCCTTTATAGTATCAATTCGTAATCAAATTAGTTTCAACTTGTATATTAGAACGAGGCAATAAGATCTGGTATATACGTATCCAGTGAAATAGTGGCCTGGCTACATGATATGTATTCCGTACACAGGGTATTCTGCAATACTTCTATTTGTGAAAAGTGGTATTGATTGTCGCTTTGAATCTTCCACTATTTCCTTGCACGCTAGTTATCTTATCCTGATTTTCTTCAATAGGGATGATATATAGTTTTAACTCGCAATAACCGAGTATACTTGACTGATTTTCGGAACCAGAAAAACAAGTTTGTAGATTTATTATGGCATCGCGAAGTAAACCGTTCATCTTTCTACACGTGGTCGAAAAAGAACAACGTGGACTCGTGGAGTGATGGATATATGGTGCACCAGTGGGTTACGAAGGGATCCATTGATAACGCGCGGAGGCCTGAACGCGGATCAATGATGCGTCCGACTATCAATGAGGAGTCCGACTGTCTACGGAAAAAAAATTTGCGCCGCCGCTGTTAAAGCCGTGGTCAAGGTCTACGAAGAAATCAAAGCTGGATTGAAAGAGATTGCTGCAGACCCAGAGCAGAAAGAAGATACTCGAAAAGAAGCTCTAAATCACGTTTCTAATATGGATCGTTTGGAGACTGGCATACTTACTCTGGTATGGCACCGTATCTTGAAGTGTTTTAACAGTAACATCCAATTGCTTCAATCCACGGATCAAGACATTAACTCGGCTGCTGCTATTTATGAATCCCTGGAAGAGTACGTGAAAAATATGAGACCAAAATTTGAGCAGTTCGAGGCTGAAGGAAAATGCTCAGTGGATACGAACATTACGAAGACGAAATGAAACGAAATCGCCAGCGGAATCGTCGTTATGATGAACCAGGATCAGTTCCAGAAGTAGAACTTACACCTGCCGATAATTTTCGAACGGCAACGTTTTTGGTTATTATCGATAGTTTGGTTGCTGAGTTGAAGAAACGTAAGGAAGCATACGTCACGCCACTGTTGCGTCAAGGTTTGGATTTTTGAGAACTATGAAGGAGCTACCTGACGACAAACTGACACTGAGTGCAAATCATCTTTGTAAAATTTACCCAGGTGACCTTGAGCCGAGTCTTTCAGACGATCTATTACAGTTCTCTGCCTTCCTGAAAACCGAGCTTGCCGAGAGATACCTGGATTCGTCAAGCTCTGTAGAAGCACCAGTCCTTTCTGAAATCCCTTCATCGCCCACACCATCTGAGGATTCTTCAGCGCCATCTTCACCAGTTACTACAACTCCAAGTGATGATGAAGATATGTCATTCAACGATGACAATGAGCTGCATGAGCATGATCAAACCATGGAATTCGAAAACAATGATGCAATGAAACTAGAATCACCGGAGGTTCGGATGTACAAGCTAGAAACAAACTAGAAAACAAACTAGAAAACAAACTAGAAATAGTATTTCCAAATATTGATGTCGCACTTCGTATTTACCTTTCTCTTATGATATCGAATTGCAATGGCGAAAGATCTTTTTCAATATTGTGTTACATAAAGAACTTGTACAGATCCACCATGGGTCAGAGACGGTTGAACGACCTGATATTACTAAGTGCTGAACAAGACATTCTTCATGAGCTTGACATAAATTCACTCATCAATGACTTTGCGCTCATGAAATCTCGAAAAAAGAGTATTTACAAATCATCGTAAATTGATAACGGGAACATTTCAAAGCGTGATATACAGCTATTTCAATTAAGGTAATTGTCCCCGACCAAAGCGATAAAGTTGAATACGAACGCGAAAGGCTTGCTGGAAATTGCATATAAATTAATGGTTTTCAGTTAGGGATTCCCAGCAAGCCTTCTGCGCTCGTATTCGACTTTTCCGCTTTGCTCGGGGACAACCTTCATTGAAATAGCTGTATGCCACAAGGATATAATAGTAATTATAAATAAAAAAATTCAAATACCAAGTTAATATATACTACACTTGTCTCTAATTTGGTCTCAGACTTTAGATTTGCTATATGCGAAGCGAATGCCACGTCGCTACGAATTTATGCTTAAAACGAGGTAAATTTCCAGGTTATAGTCTATAGAGAAGGCAAAAATTTGGGGCCTCGCGTGAAAATAAATGCCACAGGCCCCGCGTTATGTAAACTCGGCCCTGCCCCTCATGACATAATTACTGCTCAAATTTCACATTATTTGACATGCATACTCTTTCAGATATTGACTAAATACGGTACACTAATACAGCATGTTTTGTAAGAATATATAGTTTGATGAAAAGGTAAACAAAGAAACCAAGTTTTAACAAACTGCTGTGTATACAGCATACATCTACTAGTACTACACTACTATGAGTTCACTTGACATTAGTCACATTACCTTTAAAATATATATTTATAAAACTCAATAAAAATTCATGAATCATGATTATCCATTATCTCGTTTCAAAACAAAAATAATCAAATTGAACAAAGTCAAACAGAAATTAAAATTTACCTTCTTCGACTTAAACAGAAATTAAAATTTACCTTCTTCGACTTCAACTATTTCTTTCTCTGGGAATGTCCGTATCACTTGTGGAGTAATCCGAATCATCCTGTGAAAGCAGTAATAATGTAATATGCAAATTATTGCCTATTTAATATTAATCATTCCACATAATAACATGTTTTATTCATACATTTACATTTTGTCTTTTTTGAATGAGATACTTAAGCAGGATATAAAATAACCATTCACAAGCAAGGAACAGTGTCACTACGATTAGATTGCAATTTAAAAAACACTGGATCATCGATGATTAAGATTAAAAATCAAAATACACACCTTTTCGTTCGAAACGATAGCGGCCATTCTTGCTACAAGCCTCGAGAACTAAATTCCAAATCATGATATTTACATGAAGTATGAAAACTGCTGGACAGAAAGCCAGGAGCAAATATTAAGCACTCACCGTCTGTCGAAAAAGTGAATGGATAATATATACTGAGCTAAAAGTTTTCTAATTTCAAAACTTTGCCATATTTGCACCAATATAAACCAATATAAACCAATAAAACTAGTCGGCCATGCAACGCCACGCCAGTGAAGTAACACCAAAAATTTGGAAAGTTGGCACAACACAGCCAAACGCCACGCCGAATATATTTGGCGCAACCTACGAACTTTCCAGTATGGATCTGGTCCGGATGTAAATAATATCTGATCTAAGATCAGCAGAGACGTAGTGACAAATGTGAAGTAAATTTTCACATTTTCAGGTAAAATTTAAATAATAAAGTCATTATTTTTGTGAAATGATAACCATTTTTGTAAAATACAGTCAGAAAATGTTCTGGGGGAGGACCCCCATACACCCCCTTTTTTTAGGAAATCAATTAATGGAATTCAATCATAAAAAAAAGCTCTATGATAAAACTGAATATTTGCAAAGAAAATAAGGAATTTATGTAATGTGATTTATCAAAGTAAAATCTACTTTATCTAAAGTAGTTTAATAACCAGGAAACTAGAATTATTAGGAAGGTGTTAAGCCATTAAGGGAATTTACTAATACTGTAAGCTTGGCGCCACCATATCTAAAATAGAGCATGCATATTGGCACGCAATGTGGGTGAGAGGAGTGGTGCAAATGTAGCAGAGTGCCTCACAAAGTGTTTGGCAACTACACAAAATTAAATGAGTCGCACACAGTTTCGTTTTATGTAATCTGTAATTTACAATAGCGAATTTGCTTCGCTATAAAGAACCCTCGTTTAATAAAATACATACAAATGCCGTCTTGTCAAAACAATAACCAATCTAGTGTATCATATGTCACTTCCTAAATATGTCAAAATAAACGCCTATTACTAATTAACTTATTAGTCAATCCGCTACATATTCCCCCCTCACGTAAAACTTCGTCCCGAAGTTCATTAAAATACAATAAATCTTAAAATATTATACGTCTGACGTTGAGATGGCATTGAATGCCAGGCTCCTAGCACGTTCTCTACGCTAGATCTGTTGTTATCGTTTACCAGTGACAAAAGGACTGCCACCTTATTGCTCCACACCGGTTGAATGCCCAATCGTTCTGGGGGCTTTGATATTCTCCCTGATCGCGTAACGGATTGGTTTTCGTCAACGTTAACCTCTTCCTGTTGGGTTTCATTTAGTTCTTCCTCAATAGCCGGTTCCGTTTTGGGCAGGTCGTTTGCGGGTGCTGGTTCGTCAGTTACCGGAATGGCTTCTGGTATAATTGGATCCAGCGTTGTTCTATTGCCGGGTGTCATACTGTGTGGAATAAATTCCTCTTCGGTATCACTTTCTTCTGTAACAACGTCACTCTCACATTCTGCTGCCGCAGGTCTTTGACGTAAATATGGAAGTTTCTTCTGCTTTGGTGAGGGTGAACTCCTGGGGATTCTGTATGGAAGCAACCACAACATTTCCCTGCCCGATAGCTTATCGTAAAATCGTAGGTCGACAAACTGGCCAACCAACGGTGATCAGTTGCACTAAGCTTTGCCGACGTCAGTAGGTAAGTCAACGGGTTGCTATCTGTGATAACATGAAACTTCCTACCGTACAGATAAGAACGAAACTTCTCTGTGACTGCCCATTTCAGTGCAAGAAACTCTCGACAATAGGCGCAATAGCGTTGTTCCGAATGAGTAAGGGAACGGCTCCCATACGCCAGAACACGCTTCTTGCCACTTTGCAATTGGTAAAGAACTGCGCCCAGTCCCACGCCTGAAGCATCGGTGTGCAAAACAAACGGTAGAGTGAAATCAGCAAACACCAGGACAGGGGTGTTGACAGCTTGGAAATAAGTGATTCGAAAGCATATTGACAAGTTTCAGTCCACAGGAATGTCTGAGGCATTTTAGCGTTTGGTTCTTTAATCAGGTCATATAACGGTGCAGCAATCTTGGCAAATCCCTCAACAAAATTGCGATAGTACCCGGCAAAGCCTAGAAAGGTTTGTAGTTCCTTTCGATTTCTCGGTGGATTCTCCAACCATTTGGGTAGTGCTGAAATCTTTTCGGGATCTGGTTCTACGCCATTTTCAGACACAACATGTCCCAGATAGGTAAGCTTGGTTTGGAAAAGCTTACATTTCGATGGTTTCAGCTTCAAGCCGAACTCTCCAAGACGCCTGAGCACAGCTTCTAATCTCTCCAACATTTCTTCGAAGGTTCGGGCAAAGACAATAACATTGTCGAGGTAGACAAGGCAGATCTTAAGGTTAAGACCAGATAAACATCGTTCCATGAGGCGTTGAAACGTTGCCGGTGCGTTGGTTAAACAGAAAGGCATGCGATTAAATTCATATAGACCAAAGGGTGTTGTCAACACCGTCTTTGGTTTATCCTTTTCTGCAACCCTAACCTGAAGATAACCACTTTGAAGATCTAAGGAACAAAACCAACGAGCACCCTCCAGGGCTTCCAAG